GGAGGGAGGAGGAGGAAGAAGAGATGAGGAGGGGGAAGGGGAGGAGGAGGACTCTTCTCACCACCGTTCTCCCCTCTCCCGGCCTCCCTCGCCGCCCGCCTCCCCCTACGCCCCCTCCTCCCTCACCCGCCCATCCTCCGGAGACCCTTTCTCCCCCGCCTTATCTACCCCTCTCTCTGCTCCGGATCCTCGTTTCTTCCCTTCCGGCGGGCTATATCCGAACCGTAACCGACAGCGATCAACGAACCATTCGGCAAATTCGGTCGCATTCGGGCAGTTCAATCGATGGGTTTCGGGATAGACTTCGGAACTCGTCAAACGCATGGGGATAGACTTCGGAATTCGTCGAACGCATGACGAAATCCGAGCCTTACCCCCGGCTCCCATCGATTCAGGAGAATCCCTGGTTGGTGGGGGTGGGATTCGGATGTCGCCACCTATCCCCCCTCTCCCTTCTCCCCGTCCCTCCCTCCCTCCTGCCCCTCCCCTCCCCTTCCCTCCTTTCTCCTTCCTCCGGAGAGGAGCCCGCCTGCATCCTCTCTCCTCCCTCCCAGGCCCCCGACGTGATGCTGTTTCTCATGACGTCGACCCCCAAAGGTCTGGACCCCATTCCAAGGGACTCGTTTCCGTCCCGAGCAATTGTTTGACGACCCCGGGGCTCAGGAAGGGCCCCCAGAGGCCGAACACAGGACAACACAATATTCCCGTCGTGATTGTTTCATGTGTCGTGACCTTCTCTGCCTCCAGCCGCCGCTGCTCTCCGAGGTCGTCCACCTCGCGGGTCTTTGGCTGGTTCGGGTATAAGTGTAACGATTTTGAAACAATCCCTATCCGTAGAGCTGGAGATGGCGACGCTGGCTTTACATCGCTTCCCGCGCGGTCGCCGCCAGCGTGCTGCTGTATATGCTCTCACGCATGCGATCTGCAACCAGTGCGCCGTCCAGGCACGGTCCACTTGACGTCATGACCCGAAGGGGGTCTGGGCTCCTAAATTCGGTGACCACATGTGAACCCTAATTACCCCCGCCCCCCACGATTTTTTAAGGGGGGGTGGGGGTTCACTACGATCGGGGGCTCCCGAGCGAAAGGACCCCCCCCCAGAAATCTGGGGGGGATGGGGGGAGGGTTCACATGTGATCACCTATGGATCCCGCTTCTCCCCCCCCCTCCCTCCCTCCCTCCCCCCCCCCGCCGCCCTCCCGAGAGGCGCCCGCCTGGTCCGTCCCCCCCCCCGCCCCCGCACAACTGACCGTGCGGAGGAGGCCGCCGGCGCGGAGGCCGAGAGGGCGGGCGAGGACCCCCTGCCGAGGCCCGCCTGCCCGGGGCGGCTGGGGGGACCCAGCGGCCCGTGATGGGCCAATTTACCACCACCGCCACCACAGGTAGGATGGGGGAGAAGGGAGGACGGGGAGGTCCTCCTCCTCCTCCTCCTCCTCCGCCTCCTCCTCCTCCTCCGCCTCCTCCTCTCCGACCAGTGCGGGGAATGAGCCCAGAACCCCTCGGGCTGTGACAAAAATCACGACGCGAGGTGTTTCGCTATTTTCGGCCTCCAGGGGCCCTTCCTGGAACCTTGGGACCGTCGACGACCGATTCAGGATGAAAACGGGTCCCTGGGAAGGGGTCCAGACCTTTGGGGTCGACTCTGTGCAAATATCGCGACGTCGGGGGTCTGGGAATTGGGCCCCTCGGGAAGCCATCGATGTTGGTGCCGCCGGGGGGTCTGAGGTGGTCCGGCGCTGGTTCCGGCCAGCAGGAAGGGCGAGCGGGTTCGAGGTTTTGGGTTCGGGAGGATTTGGTTTTCGGCGTTCGCGGCGGTAGGCGTCGACAAAGATGGGGATTTTTCATTTGTACCGTGACTGTGCGAGTGTGGTTGCTGTCGCCCAAGCTGCGTGCGCATTTCGCTCGGAAGTGGGGTTCCCGCCCGGGCGCGGCGCATGTTTTGTTCGCCGCATCGCTCGGCCGCGGCAGAGTGGCCGCGCGAGAGCGGGCGAAATGCTATCCTCCCAATCGTCGCGCAGCTTGTGTGTGTGTGTGTGTGCGCGTGTGTGTTTGTGACACTGACAGTGCTGTGTCGGCGCGGCGCATGCTTCGTCTTCGCCCCGTGCATCGGAGATTGTTCTGCCTCCGCCCCTGCGCGGCCCGCGCAGTGGCGGAAGCGGGGCCGCCCGCAGCTTGTGTGTGTGCGTGTGTGTTTGTGACACTGACAGTGCTGTGTCGGCGCGGCGCATGCTTCGTCTTCGCCCCGTGCATCGGAGATTGTTCCGCCTCCGCCCCTGCGCGGACCGCGCAGTGATTGTTCCGCCCCTGCGCCCCTCGTCGGAAGCGGGGCCGCGCGAGAGCGGCTTCCGTTCTTTTGGATGGGAACGCGCTCCAAACCCAGTACCTAATTCTGCCACGCTTTTCTTCTTGCGTTGTGGGAGGGAGGGCGGGAAGGGGCGGAGCCCGCTGACCTGTTCGACCTGGCCAGCCTGACCCCTCCCCTCGCTCCTCCTTCCCGCCCGCCGCCCTCCTTCCCCTCACCCGCCCCCTCAATCCTCCGCACGTCTTTTGCTCACCCCATCCTCCTCCCCTCCTTCAAGGGGGGAAAACCACCCGGACTGGGGACAATTGGCGTTTACTAGACGGCTTTGGGCGTTTCCTAAACAGCCCTGCCCTGTTCGATCCCTTTTCTGGGCGCGATTGCGAAACGACCTCGCGTGTCGGGGTGGTGCTTGTGGGGGGGGGGCTTTTTGGATTTCCACTCCTCCCCCTCCGTGGGCTAAGCAAATGCACCCGCACGCTGTACGGGATCGACAAGACTTTCGTGCACGCCTGAGCGCATGCCGCGCCGACGCGCCTTAGGGCGTAGGGTACTCCTTCCTTCCTCCCCCTCCGTGGCCTTCCTGCGGCCACACGTGCCGCACCCTGCCCCCGCACCGAGCTTCCGGCCCCCCCCCCTGGTGGCGGCCGGCCCTCGGCCCCCGCGGGGGCTCACCCACGGCGGTCGCTGCACGCAAGGGGGCTGCGCCCGCCCAGCAGCCGCGAGCCGCGGGCCCGTGCCCTCGAGAAGGGCCGAGCCTAGCCTTAAGTCGGGCGTGTCCACTTACAGGGGGATTTTCGACGAATAATCAAAAATCCCCCAAAACATACCCCCAAATTGCCAAAAATGTTCAAAACATAGTCCCCAGATTAATTTTGAATTATTTGTTGATTAGTTTGGGGGTATTTTTCATTTTTCGGCGACAATCCCCCTGTAGGGGGACACGCCCGAGTTAAGCCAAGCCGAGCCTCCGCCTCCTCCGATGTCTTCGGGCTGCAGCATCTGTCGCAGCGAATTTGGGTATGCAAGCAGCACCTGTCGCACCCTTCTTTGTCCTCCTCCCCTTCCTTTCTCCTCCTGGTCGTCCTTGCGCAAGCTGCTTCGAGCAAAGCATTCGCCGACGCTTGGTGCCAACATGGTGTATAGCTTTGTTGCGATCGACTTTTTAAAAAACCTCCCCCTCCGATTTCTTCGGGGCAAGCACCCTACGCACGGGAACGAGGATAGGATTATAGCTCATTGGCCCCTCTTGGGACGGCTGCACGGAGCTGGCAAGGCTCCAGTTTCTCTCCGCCAAGTGTTGTTGGGCCCGTTTCAAGCTGGACCCAGTGGCCAGACCTCTGCTGGGTGGAGTTTCTCGTCATCCGTTACGCTGCATCTTCGGGGGGCCTCGTCTGTTCCAAAAACGTGTGTCTTGTATTGTGCCCGACGCGGCGTCGCTGCGGAATCCACGCGGATGTGGCGTGGAGTCGACGCGGGTTCGACGTGGACCCGACTCGGATTCGACTAGTGCGACACGGATGCGACATGGATTCCGCGCGGATATGGGCGCGACGTGACAGACAAGGTCCTCCGAAGATGCAGAACAACATTTTTCCCCTCCTCGGAGATCCGACGTTGCGAACACATTGCTCGGCGGCGAGCGACGGGTGGAAGCGAGAAGGAAAACGCCTGCTCAAAGGGTTCGGAAGCTTCCAGGCCTTCTGAGAAGTTTCTTAAACCTTCCCGAAGACGAACAATTTTTATCGGAAGGCGCGAGGCCTTTTGAGAAGTCCCGCCGCCTTCTGAAAAGGCCTTCTCCTTCTCACTGCCCCCCCTCGCTCGCCGCCGAATTGCAGCATCGCGAGAACTCACGCCCAGAGACCTAGATTCCATCTCTCTGATGCATGTTTCGAGCCGTATCGATCCGTGGAGGTCCTGGGGCACGAAGCAAAGCAGAGGCGGCCGTTGTGGAAACAGTGCGACGCCCATCCTAAAGATCCGACGCTCCGAAAATTTGTAGCAGGCGGTTTTTGGCCGTTTTCGGCCTCCGGGGGCCCTCGCAGGGCCTCGGGAGCGTCAAAAAACAAGTCAGGATGGAAGACCAGCCTATAGGGAAGTGGTCCAGATCTCCAGGGCCCATGCATCGAAAAAATTGGAGCAGCCGGATGTTTGTGATTGCGGCATTGCGCAATCCTTTCCTCCTCCTCCTCCTCCTCATCCTGTATCCTCCTCCTCCTCCTCCTTCGACTACTTCAGTAAGGGTTTGCTTGGAAGAGAGTTGCAGAGTGCGCCGCCCTGCCGCAACCGCGGGGCTCAAGCTTTCACGGGCGGGCGCACGCTTCTCGCGCGCGTCGCATGCCCGACCTGCCGGTGGCTGTCGCGCACTGGGCAGGTCAGGCCACTTTCGCCTGGCTTGGATCCTGCCCGAGGTGCCCCGAGTCTGTCTGCGGCTCCCTCGTGTGCGGAGAGGTGCACTGCCCCCCGGCGCCAGCGTGCCCGCAGTGCCCCGCGTGCCCAGGCTGCCCCGGGGCCCCCGAGCCAGCCTGCACCACCCCTGCGGCAGCGCCGCCGTGGCTCCCTGGCTGGCTCGCGTCCGCTGGACTCCTGCTGCTGGGCGCGGCCGGAGGAGCTGTGGTGCCTGCCCTCGCGCTGGGCACCTGGCAGGTGTTGCGCTGGCTGACGGCTCAGTGTCCCCGCCGCGGGACTGATGGCGGCAGCGATGCCCCCACCGATACTACGACCCTGGCTGTGGCTCCGGTACCAGGGCGAGGCGCTGTACCACCAGCGGCGCGTTGTCGGGGTGCTGGCCTCCTCGGCGACTCAAGTGACTGACGCCGACGAGGTCATCGGCGTCTCGCCGGACGGCGACCCCGAGCAGATCGACCTCTCCGGGGCCTCGCGGGACATCGAGGCCTGGTGCTGGTCGGAGGTCTTCCGTCCTCCCCCGCCTGGTATCCCGCGAGGTCAGGTGTACCGCTTCCAGCAGGAGCCCGACGCCGCCGCCCTCGCCACGATGCGCGCGGACGCCGAGGCGTTCTGCGACGCCGCCTTCCTCGCTCGCGAGCGGGCGGCAGGGCAGCCAGCGGTGCTCCCGGCGACGGGCAGCCTGGTCGACGCCGTGTGGCCCGCGCCCGCGGCGCCAGCCGCGGCCGCCGCTGCGGCCCCCGCAGCCCCCGGGCTGCCGCTGGCGCTCCCTGGGATGGCGGCCCCCCCGGGCCCTCCGGCCCTGGGCGCCCCCGCCGCGGCCGCCGCCCCGCTGGCCCTGCTCGGAGCACCCCCAGCCGCGCTGCCTGGCGCTGCTCCACCGGGGGCGGTGGTGGCGGCCCCGCTGGCCGCCGCGGCGCCTGGAGCCGCCGCCCCGGCCGCATTCCCCGCGGCCATGGCTGCTGGCGCCCCTGCAGCTGGGGCCCCGCTGGCCGCAGGACTGGGCATGGTGGCAGCGGCGCCCTACCCGGTGATGGTCACGGTTGAGACGACGACGTACGGCCCGCGTGGGACTCCAGTGGCTCCGAACGGCACGGAGGTCATGTCTGGCGACGTCGGCATCCACACGGCTCCTGGCTATGGTGGCTTGCTGGTTCGTACGATTCGCTCCGACCAGGTGCAGGATTTCAAGGGCCTCGAGGCAGCGGGCGACGCCCGCCTCCTCAGCGTGATCGCGGTGAATGGTCAACGCTCCCGTCGAGCCTGGCGTGACGTGGCCAGCTCGCTATCCGAGATCGCCTTCCCCGACTGGGCGATAGAGGGCCCCCGCACCACCCTTTGGTGCTGCCGATGGATCGACCGTCGGGGCGGGGGCCCTCTCGACCACCGCCGCTTCTTCGTGATGGTCCACCGCCTCCACAAGGACAGCTGGGGTGTCCCGATGCACGAGTTCGGGATGAAGGCCCTCGAGACCCTCGGCGCCTACGACTCGCTCGACCTGCCGAACGTCGCGGGGATCGAGTCGCTGATGCGCGAAGTGCAGCTGGTCGAGTATGCGTATGCCAAGCACGACGGGTTTGCTGGGGCCAGCACCGAGGTGGCCGACGGCGACCTGAATGCCAAGAAGAAGGGCCGTGGCCGTGGCCGCGGACGAGGAGGCGCCGCGGGCGCCTTCGGCTACCTGGACGAGCACACCGCCTTCCGGGGGCAGCGTGAGACGGGAGACGCCATGGTGTGTCCCGCCCTGGTCGAGTGGGTTGGCAAGCAAGTCGAACGCGATGCCAACATTTTAAAGCAGGTCCGAAAAGCCCGAGAAGAGCGGGCTGATGCGGGCCATGGTCCAAATTAGTTTTGGACGCGCGGCGGTCGCTCCCCCTGGCGCCCGCTGTTCACACTCTGTGGGGCTAGGCTCGCCGTGGCAGGCGCGCCTCGATTTTCTGCCAGCAGAGGCGCTGGGCCGCGCCATCATCTTCCCCTTCCTCCTGTCCTCCTCGTGCTCTGGCCATCGCGTGGCGCCTGGTCCCATGTCGAGAGCGTGCCCTCGTGATCTTTTTCCCCTGCCTGTGCCGGCCTCCTCTGACCCCCCTAGGACCTCTGTCTCGCGCAAAGTTCGGAGGAGATTCGAGGTCCACCGTCAGTCAGCATCCTTGGTCTCCGAGGTGGTTTCGGTCTTGAATCAGTTACACGGTCAACACGGTTCGGACAGCGGTCAAACTGCATCGGCGGCCCAGAAGGCGTGTTTGGAGCATATCCACCGTGCGGTTCTACGATTTGGCAAGCCCCCGGCGGACCTCACATCTGCAGGGGCCTTACGAGAGCTCCGCGTTAACCCAGGCTACTCCGTGACGAGCAGCCCCGTGGTTCTCATCAGCGAGGCCAATATAAACAGAGTTGCCCTTCCTCCTGTCGGGTGGTCACCTGCTGGAATTTTGCAGCTGGGCGGCTCCGTCGGCGAAGCCATAGTTGATGAGCTGCATGCGCTGCGGCGTCCTGACCCAGCACTTGCAGATACTTCTACACCTCCTCCCAGAATTTACCACGATCCTTATCTCCGTTCTCATCCTCGGCTTTATGCGCGCTTCCTGCTTCGCCTCAGTCAGTCTAACCTTGTGACGTGGAGGCGAGAGTGTACATCCTGCGTGGGAGTCTTCTTTGTGGCTAAAAAGAACGGTGACCTTCGTTTGATCCTCGACGGGCGTCAGGCAGGCGAGCATTTCGATGAGCCCCCTCACGTTGACCTAGCTACTGGGTCGGCGTTCTCGGCCCTGGAGGTTGACGGTGGGGGGCCTATCTATGTTGGGGAGACGGACATTGGGATGCCTTCTATGGGATTCAGCTACCTCCGGAGTTCTGGCAGTTTTTCGGGCTACCTCGAGTACGAGCTGGGGTCCTAGGTATCACTACCGACAGCGCTGGAGGCCCCTTGAGGGCCAGCGACTGGGGTACCCCGTGCTTTACCGCCGTCCCAATGGGATGGAAACACATTCTCTGGATCTGTCAGCGTATCATGGAGTTCCGGGCCCGCACCAACACGTTGGCCTCCCCCAGTCTGGCTTTTGACGATGCGCACCTTCCTGTCCGTCTGGTTCGATCTTCCACGCAGGTATTACATGCAGAGTACGTTGACAACTTCGTTGCCCTTGGCCTCTCGAAGGACCCCACGTATGCCGTGACTGACTCCGTCGATCGCAGTCTCCGAGACGCTGGGTTTCGCACCCACGGTCCGACCGTGTCGGCTGGATGGGGGTGTTCTCGGTTGGACCTTCGACCAGGACGCCCCGACGATCGGGATCAGTCACCGCATAGGCTGGCGAATACGACTAGGGTGTCTGGCTGTCGCGGACATGAAGTACGCCTCGGGGGATCTTGTCAGGGTCGTCGTGTCACGCTTCACGTCTCGGGCTCTGCTGCGCCGTGAATTACTCTCATGTCTGCAGGCTTCGTATTATTTCATCGAGTCGTCCGGCCACCACGCGCGCGTTCTCTGGAGCTCAGTCAAACGGGAGCTTCGTTGGTGTGCCGCGCTGATCGCACTCGCTTTCCGCGACGTCAATGCCGCCTGGTCCCCCATGGTCTACTGCACCGACGCGTCCTGGTGGGGCGCAGGGGTCGTCAGGGGCATCCGCAGCGTCCAGGAGGTCCAGCACGTGGGCCACTATGCGGAGCGCTTGCGTTACTCAGCGGCCCACGAGGCCATCCTCAAGCCACGGGACTCGGCTCTGAAGTGTTCGGTCAGCGGCGGGGTCACCGCCTCCCCCCGGGACTCCGGGATCCCGAAGGCCCCCTTCCCCGAGGTCCCAGAGTCGGTCTACGGCGGCGACTGGTCCCTCGTTATGTCCCAGAAGTGGTCCCGCAAGGAGGCCCAGGTTGTCCTGGAGGCTCGGTCGCTCGTGCTCACCGTGAAGAACATAGTTCGGAACACTCAGAACTTCGGTTGCAAGCGCCTGGTTTTGAACGATTGCATGGCTCCCATTCTTGCGTTTACCAAGGGACGATCGTCGAGCCCTGGGGTCCTACAGTGCTGCCGTCAGACGGCTGCCATGTTGCTGGCCTCTAACTCGTATATCGCCTGGAGATGAGCCCCATCAGAATCCAACGCAGCCGATGCCGCTTCTCGAGGTCGGGCAGGAGCTTTCCGATTCAATGCTGCGCCGAATCCAGTTGCAGCACTCGGGCCCGCGGGGCTCGAGGTCCTCCGCGATGGCTTCCTCGGCGACAGCCGTGACGGCGGGCACGCAGCTGGCACCGCGCCCCCTGGGCGCCCACGCCGGGGGCCTGCCCCGCGCGGAGGTGGCGCCCAACCTCCCGGCGCCCTCCTCGCGGCGCCCATACCGCGAGCGGGTGCCCCACGGCCCCGGCGCTCAGGAGGCGAAGGCCGCCAAGCGGGCGAGGGCCTTCCCCGCTGCCGCAGAGGCCCCGCCGCTGCCAGGCGCCCCGACCTTCCTAGAGCTGCAGAGCGTCTCGCCGAAGGCCGCCCAGGACTACCAGACGTACGCGACGGCGTTCTACCAGTGGGGCCAGGAGCGCCACCTGCTCAGCGACATCGCGACCTCGCTGAGGTCGGCGCCGGCGATCGACCTAGCCCTCGTGACGTACATGCACGAGAAGTTCTTCGCAGGCGAGCTCTCCTACGTGCCGACGAAGCTGATCGCGGGTCTCCGCTACTTCTGGACATACCCCAACGGTGCGCCCCTCGAGCTGCCCCGCAGCTTTCGCGCCTTGACGGGCTGGAAGCGCATGGTGCCCGCCCAGAGCCGCCTGCCGTACCCCTGGGTCGCCCTGTGCCTGCGCGCGCAACACATGATTGCCGCGGGCGGGCCAGGTGATGGAGGCATTGGCCAGCATCATCACCTTCACGTTCTACCTGCGCCCCAGCGAGTGCCTGCGTCTGCAGGGGAAGCTGATCACAGCTCCTGCCCAGGCGCCTCGCCGTGTGCAGGACGGCCAGGGCCAGATGCGGCCCCTCCTCCTGCACCCGCAAGAGGGCGGCGCCACGTCCAAGACGGGCCGCGTGGACGAGAGCCTGCTAGCGGACAACCCCCTGTTCCCGTGGTTGCCGCAGGTGCTGGGCCTCCTGAAGGCCAAGCTCCCCCACTCGCTGGTCTTCAACTTCGGCCAGGCACAGTGGGGCCGGGCCTTGAAGGGCGCGGCGTCCGCTTGCGGGCTCACTGCCCTGGGCGACCCGTGTCTGCACCGCCTCCGCCACGGAGGGGCGTCGCACGACCTCCTCTTCAAAGCTCGCATTCTCCTGGGCGCCAAGAAGCGCGGCCGCTGGGCCAGCGACCGCAGCCTGGCCCGCTACGAGCGGGGCGGGCGCATCAACGAGCAGCTGAGCCTCTTGTCCCAGGACGTCCTCATCGCCGCCGACCTGGCGGCCTCGAACATTGGCGTAACCCTCGTGAATGCCTTCCGCTCTTTGTGAAGCAGCGGGGCGTCCCCGCGGCCCTCGAGATCTTCGCTGGCTCCAGGCACCTGCCTGAGGTTTGGCGCCGATCCATGAGGTCGGCTGGCCACCCTGTTTTCGAGATCGACATACGGCACGGGGTTGAGCATGACATGTGCAGTAAGGCCCTGGTCAAGCTTATTCGGGGCTGGGTCCGAGGTGGGCTCGCGACGGCCGTGTTCATGGGTACGCCGTGTAATTCCTTCTCTCTTGCACGGAACCGCCCTAACGGTCCCCCGACCCTCAGGACGTCCGAGTACCCCGAGGGCCTCCCCAAGCTCTCAGACAGCTGCCGCAAAGGAGTCGACCTCGGAAACTCCCTGTGTGCCGCGAGTTTCAGTATCTTCCGTGAGTGCCGTTTGCTTGGGTGCCCAGTGATCGTCGAGAACCCTGCGAGCTCTCATCTTTGGAGACAACCCCAGGTCCTCAAGGTTCGGCAGCTTCCTGGTGTTTCAGAGGTGGTTTTCGACATGTGCGCTTTCGGCACCATCTGGAGAAAATCTACCCGACTTCTTGGGTGTCACGTTGATCTTCGACCACTGGATATTCGATGTAGAGGCAAAGGTGTATGTCGTTCACTGGCTCCCCGCATTTTACCCTGGAGATGAAAGGCTCCAAGATCGTATCAAAGCAGGCGGAGGTTTACCCCTTCTCTGTATGCCGAGCCATTGTGAGAATATTCCGTGCTGCTCTAGTGCAACAGCGTGCTAATAAACTTCGGCCTCATGTTTGAGTCCAGAACGGTGTTCGCGGAGGTTTTCCTGTTCCTGGGCTTTACACTGGTTCGGATTTTATACAGTACTGTTTCCTGATATGTACGTTGTCCCCTCCCCTGCAGTCTCGGGGGCAAGCACATCCCAACACAGATCGTGTCCCTGGCGACGGAGAAAACATCTGCAAGCATCGACTAAAACTACTATCAGTAAGGTTTAAGCTTGGAAGAAGTTGCAGAGGCGCCGCCCTTCAGCAACCGCGAGCTCAAGCTTGCAACCGAACCCTCCCTCCCTTCCTGTAAGAGCTGGCCGAGGCATGGGCAGGCGGATTTTGATAACAGTACTGTTTCCTGTTCCTGTGAACGATGTCCCCTACCCTGCATTCTCGGGGCCAAGCTACAATCCCAACACGATCGTAGTTGGAGTTCCCTGTGGCGCTATTTGCGACGTAGAAAAAAAAACCACAGGCCAGAATAAAATAAAGCAGATCGCCTCCTCCTCCTCCTCCTCCTTCTCCTCCTCCTCCTCCTCCTCCTCCTCCTCCCCCGTCCTCCTCCTTTTTCCCCTCCTCCTCATCCTGTATCTGTCTCGACCGTCACTTCTACAGCGCTGGTGGCACAGTCGCGAGGCTGAGGGGAACTGGCCAAGGCAAAGAGTTGCCTCGGGCTGGGCGCACAGCCTGGTCCTTCTTGAACTAAAATCAGGAGGGGAAAACACACACACAGACACAATTAATCGACGATTCCCAGAAACATATAGGAAAATATGGGAAGTGGGGGAAGACAAAAACCATGAAAATATTCGAAAAGATGGGGGAACCTGTTATTTGTGTTTATTTATCTGTGTGTCCCAAGGCCCCTTCATAAAAAAAGGCCAGCGCGACGAGCAGAACAAAAGGAGAGGAATATTTCGATCGGGCCTTCGCCATGCTCCGTAGAGCACTTGCTGGAAAAGAAGCATCGCGGTGAACGCAGATCCTTCCCATCCTCGGGCGACGAAATCTGTACACGCATCCATTGTCCCCTGGCCAGACCCCTCTTCGACGATCTTTCGACCATTTTTGATAATTCGTTTGGACGCTTTTGGACTCTTTTCCATTTTCTTCCAAAATCCACCCGTAGGAGGACATGCCCGACCTGATCCCATGTGTAGAGCTCGCCGCCCGACCTCCTTCCCGCCCCCCTCCCTCGCCCAGGCTGCGCGCGGCCCTCCAGGCCGCCGAGGCCGAGGCCAGCTCGCTGAGACTGCGCCTGGCCACGCTGCAAGGTGCCATCCAGGCCCCTCGCGCGCCCCTTTCCCCCCGAAGACCCCCTCGAGTCCTCTCGCGTCATGCACAAAACTCACGCCGGGAGGCTTTTCGCCGTTTCCGGCCTCTGGGGGCCCGCCCTTACGGCCTTACGGGGCTTCGGGGCCGTCAAACAGAAACGTTTCGGGATGAAAACCTGGTCCCAGGGAGTGGGTCGAGACCGGACGGGGCGTTCCGGAACGCTCTGAGAAGCTCGCGGCGCCCGAGACATCTTCTAGAGCCGCCGGATCTCCGGGATTCTCGATCTGTCCTCATCCGATGCTATCCTCGCCCTGGCTCCGTCTTGCGAGACTTCAGGGGGGGCCGCGCCATGAAAACGTCGTGTCGTCGTATGTGTATGTGTGTGTGTGTGGCCTGGGCCAGCTCCCGGCGAGGCAGGCCCGGCCACTGCAAGCCTGTTCACGATCGAACAGGCTACTGGAATGGAAAAGCTAGGGACGCAGTGGCAGACCGGCAGCAGTTCCTGTTCATGTCTGAGGAGGAGGAGGAGGAGGAGGAGGAGGAGGAGGAGGAGG